CCCCAAAACCCCAAAACCCCAAAACCCCGCTTGATTAAATAATTGTTAGAAATTATAGAAATAATAAAGTAAAATGAATGATGAATGTATAATTTGAATTTATAAATTTTAAAGATTAGCTAGCAAAAACAAAATAACAATATAATGAGTGCATAGTCAAATTAAGCTGCCACTTCGCATTTACAAGATTAAGATGCTTCCAAGAGAACTAAGTATACACTTGAACAGTGGGAGGATAGGATGTAGGATATAGTTATATCGAAGGATATTATAAACAAGCTTGTGATGAATTATCTGATAGTTGAGGGGTATAAACAAGGTGCTCTCAAATTTGAGAAAGAAACTGGTATTAAAGGTAATAATGATAAATTTCATAAATTTATTTTCAGCTGAAATGGATGAAGATTTGATAGATCACAGAATAGAAATTAGAAGACTGCTAGAAAAAGGTTAAATCGAAGAAGCTATCAGTAAAATAGATACTCTTAACCCTGAGGTAAGTCTTTAAATTGCATATTTTTATTCTGCTATCTAAAATGCTTAAGAAATCTTAGTAATATTTAATTTCTGATAGATTCTTGACTAGAACGTAGAACTATACTTTGAACTGAAGAGATAGCAGCTAGTAGAACTGATTAAGGCAAAAAAGATAGATGAGGCGTTGGTATTTGCCCAAGCAAATCTATCATAGAGTTTTATCAAGCCAACTTAATCCCTGCAGGATTCAAAGTCAGCCTATTTCAAGTCAGAGCTTGAGAAGACAATGACACTATTCATGTATGAGGATCTTAATGGCCCTCTTCCTGCAAGTCTGCAAGAATTAGCAGACGTGAAGTCTAGATAAAAACTGGCCAGTAGGGTAAATCAGGAGATTCTGAAGGCAATGGGCTATTCTGCAGAGCTGAAACTGGGATTCTATTGGCAAATGTTGTAGTATAGTTAAAACTAGCTCAGTACAGGAGAAAACGCAATAGAGTTTCCAAAACTTAAGGATCCAATGGGTGATCTTGAAATGTGATGAGGGGTATGAATGAATAAATAAATGAAGAGGGTTGTATGTTTAGAACAATTTACTATAAACTATTAATGTTAAAACTATCTTGTTGACCAATTTATGTTTCATCTACTTTCAATGATTTATGAAATTAAGATTAAATAATCACTTATTATGTAGCCCTTCATTTTATTAAATTCATTGTGCCTATCTATGTTGATTTAGATCTAGTTACTAGGACTATTGCTGGTATTACTGTTATAGTTACTGTTGCAAATATTCAAAATCTATGAATTCATTGCCATAACCTCCAAGTCTGTGTTTGACCACCGTGTCTACAAAACATTCTGGAGATATTTTGTCTGAGAGTCCTTGAGACATTACGTTATTCCCAGTGAAATCATCTATATCTTCATTTTAGATCCGCATTTACTCCATCTCATTACTCAATTCTACTGCTTCTCTGAACAAGAGAATCACCCTCTCATGGCTAACAGCTGACCCTTCTAGACTCTTCATGAGCTCTTTAAATTCATCTAGTGTGAGCACTCCATCTCCATTCTCATCAAAGTCAATGAACTTCTTCAACAACTTTTTCCTTTGAGAACTCTGATAAATCTCCCACTCCTCTAAAATTCTATTCATTAGCACTACTAGTGATATCTAGAATTCAGGATTGTTACTATTGATCGCAGCTCCCAAAGAGGTAAATGACTGTATTCTAGATTCTAACTGCTTAATAGGTACCAAGAAAAAATTATCAAATTCTTTCTTGAAGATATTGACCTCCTACTTCTGTAACTTAATATCAAGAGCCTCCTCTAAATGCATTAGGATCACATCCATTTGCACTTCTCTGGCTTCTGTTTTCAAAGTCAGATTATTCATGTCTATCTTGGAATAGGATATAAGCAAAAATATCTTCATCTAGATAAAGTATCTTTATATCTATTGAGAAGTCAAGCCATCTTTATAGGAAAGATCTAATAGCTCCATTTTATTGATGAAGTTTGCAAAAACTCCCTTGGCAAGTGTTCTGCATGCTTTGAAAAAGAAGGGAATGAATTCTAGGAACAACACTTGACCTCCATTTGTTAATCTTGTCTGTGCTTGTTTAAAAGATCTCTAGCCTTGCTATCTTTAGACAATTTAGAATAAATGTCTAATCTTCAAAGCAACTCTAGTCTAATCAGGTCTCAGAGCTGGAAATTACTAGGGATCAAATCCAAATACTTGCATCAAGAACTAAGCATATTAGTTATCCTGTGGATTCTTCAGATAAATTTTCCTCAGTCCACTGTATAAAGAATTCAAATATCTTATTGCCAATGATTTCAGTCCTTGCATAGTCAGAAAATGAGTGAAAGCAAATTACAGAATGTCTTATTAAGAATTTGAAGATTGATAAAGAGCAAGTGCCTGATTGTTATAGCCATTAGGACCATAGTTAACTTGATAAGGAGAGGGGTTTTGTTACTATTGCTGTTAAACCTTGATCATTTGCACCAGTTTCTCATCATTTTCGAATTTCTTTTCAAGCAGCTCTTCAACTTACTTAATCAAGGTCTGCTCTGGCATAATAATGATCTCTTTTGAGTCAGGGTTTAACTGATCTGAAATAGTGAGCTTTGAGGAAGGACTTTTGTTTTGGTATCTGCTATTCAAACTTGAATTAGGATTAAATATTTGGGACCGATTGATAGAATTAGACTACTAAATCTGTATCACTCTTGATTTCTGATGCTACTGTTCTACAATTTTAGTTAGTTTCATCAGTTCCTCTTTTCGTTTAGTATTCAACCGTCTTATTTTTCTTCTTTCTGGATCAGGGGAGGACTTTTTGTTTCCCTCATTTCTTGAATCATCATTATTTTTGCCATCAGATTCATCAAAAGCCCTAATTGAAGAATCTTGATTCTGCTGCTATTAAGATAAGCTCATAGAGTCCTTTTTTATTGATGACTTGAAACTAGTGATTTTATTATTTCTGCTCTTCTGAGTTTTAGTATTCTTGCCCCCACTTCCTTTTCTTTTAGCTTCAGGCTCAGAGCTAGAGATATCACTATCATGATCAAAGTATCTTCCAACTTCTTCTTTATTGGCTCTAATTAGACAGTCTGAACATATGAAATCCTAGTCATAATCTGTTTATATTTACTAGTCCTTAGATCTTTTGATACTCTAAACTTACTGTTGACTAATTAGATGATAGAGTATAGCATTTTTCTTGGCTTAATTTTTGAAAGCTGCACTTTGAGATTGGGCAATCTATGGAGCTAAGTAACCTTCATCTAATGCTCTATAGCTGGGCAATGCCTTTGACTTGTTAAGTTTTACTAGAGCCATTTCATGGCTTTAATCTTTGACTTGATTGTTATCCTCATTAACAGAATGTTAGTTGTCGAAACTTCCGTTTATATTTGTCTTAACACCTTCTCTACTTTTAGCTTCTCTGCTTAGCACATCCTGCAAATCTTTATTTGATCTTTATCTTTTAATCTTGTCCTCTTTGAAATCTAAAGTTACTTTTTTCATTGTATGCTATTGCTATTGCTCTTCCTCACTTGAACTTTCAGATTCTTCAATCGCCTTCTGGGAGTTTTATGCTTTTATAGACTACTATCTGACGAGTTAGGATTGATTATTTGATTTCAAAGCCTAAGTCTAGGCCTACATCTGTTGTGTCTGCTAACTAAAAGTTAGCTAGTGTGATGAGGGCACCATCAAATACTGACTATTCATCAGCATGTTATTGTTCTGCTGTTGATCTGTCAAAGTATCCATAGCTACTTTAAGGCCTTTTAATGCTACTGTCTGTTCTTTTCGTTAATCATTCATGGTCTATATGTAGGCTTCTAGTTCTGTGTTTAAATTCACAAATTTGGAGACTCCATGTGGATTCCTAAGTAGTTAGATCTCATCCTCCTTATCTCTAAGTCCATCAAGTAGTTCTCCTTTGTCCTGCATGAGTTTCTCAATTCTAGAGTTTTACATTTCCTTGACCATTTCAAGTTTTTCAATTACATCTTTATAGTGTTCTTCTTTGCTTTGAATAGAATACTTTACTTCTTGAATTTCTCTTTTTGCTTGCCCTTCATAGTACTTCTAAATCTTTTAGATTCTCTGCTCTTCATCGTCTAGATGGTATTCGAATCTTATTAGCATTATTTTCCAGAGATAGTCAAGAGCATAAATAGCCATGCAATTATTAGGTGATATGTCACTCATCATTCTCAGTAGATTCTTTTGGCAGTCATTTAGCTCACCCAAGAACTCTGAAAGTCCTGTTCTCTTTTTAAGTTCCTCCTCTTGCTTCATAGATAGAGTTCCTCTCATAATGTCTTTTGTATACGATTGCAAGGGATAAGTAAGTCCCTCTGCTTGCTTTCTCAGCATTTCAAACTTTTGTTAGCGGATCTCTAGTATCTTTACTTTTGCTTTCTTTTTAGTCGCAGAGTCCCAAGAGTCATTGGATGAATCTGACAAGTAGTCTTTACTGATATCCTTATCTTGAATCTTGAAAAATTTGGCAATTGACTTGCCAATCAAGTTCTTGCTTATTGAGAAATCTACTTGAAACTTCTTCAGCCTTACTAATTGCTTCTCCAATACTTGCTGCACATCTTTGCCAAGGTAAAAGAATTCACCTTAGTCTTCAATTACATTTAAAATGTCTTTATTGGTTTAATACTCCTATGATTTATTTCTCTCATGCTTTTTTGACTAAGGCTTGTCGAGTCTAATCAGGTTTTCATAAAATTTGATATTTCTGTGTTTAGTAGATTCGTCTCTTTCTAGTATGCTTGCTTTGTATTTGCCAGCCTTGGTTTCACTAGATTTTCCAGTCCTGTTGCCTATGAAAGATTGACTGTTTAAAAGCTTCCGTCCTCCTTTCTACTGGCTTGTTTAAATGATTCTAGCAGTCTTCGATTTATTTTCATCTCTCCCTCCAATTACATTTTTATTGGGATTAAACAAGGGCTAGAGTATTGAGTTCTAGTTTGAATTAGAATTGTTCTAATTGCTTAGCAGTTGAGAACTCATCGAAATCTCATTCGATCCTTTTCTTCTGTGTGAGTACTGATTCTGCAAATTCTGACTCTGGTTGAATCTGTCCTAACTACTTTTGTTCACAAAGAAAAACTCCTTATACTTATTATCTATCATCTATTGCTGCTCCTTGTATTTCTAATACTATGGGTAACGATCATCCTTCATTAGAGTTATCTCTTACAACTTAGCTGTCCTATTCATTACTTGGGGACTGTGTACACTCTTGCTATCCTGCTGGCTTTAGATTGAGTTAAGCTGCTATTTAAAGTTATTCTGGATGCGTTTTGTGTTCTGCTAGATCTGATTGTAAACTTTCTGCTCCTCTATCATCTCTGATAAGTTTTGCATAATGTTCTTGTTATTTCTACTCAGACTGCTCTTAATGATATTGTCATCATTGACTGAAGTGCTGTTATTGTTTTACTAATTGTTACTTATATTGATATTGATGCTGGTAGAGTTAGAGTTGCTCATTATTTCGTTATTGATTTTATTCTGTAATTGCTACTATCTAGTTTAGATATAGCTTGTCTAGGGCTGATAGTTTAAGTTCAAAGGATTATTTACTAATGGTATTTCTCTTATTTAGCTTTCGTTTATCAGTCATTGAGTCATAAGTGCTTTCTAGTCAATGAATATTGAAGAGGACTGCTGATTATTTCTATCTGTTTTATTAATGCTCTCTCTTCTCGAAGTCAGCTAGTTGGAAGTTGCTAATTCCATCTAGGTTGAATTACGCTTTTTACCTGTTCTGGACATGATAGAGTCGATTAGATTTCTATGCATCATATTCAGTTGCTATATAGTTTCTTGCTTCTTATAGGGCATCTTAATGTTTAATTGTCCGTAGTCTGATTATTGCTAAAGACTATTTTGAATAGTCTAGCTTTCTTCCTTTTTAGGCAGGATATTTATCCTCACAGAATTTTCATTTATTACATTTAGATTTGTTTATCTGTTAGCCAAAGGAGAACCTTTATTGAGTTCACTCAATTCATTGTTGTATATTGGGGATTAAACTTGATACTAAGATTCTTCATCTAGATACCCAAGTTGACTGAGCGAAGCGACTGGTATGTTCAATGGTGACTTATGCTTTAGCCTAAAGGGAGGTTTCCTCGATTCACTGGTCGATTACTGTCTTTACTAATGTGGCTGCATTTTATAGTTTTATTATATATTTATATCTGAATCCTATCCTATAATTATAATTATTGATCATGGGGTTTTGGGGTTTTGGGGTTTTGGGG